AGGGGTGAGGACCACTTCCCTGGGAAGTTGGTTCCAGATTTTGGCCACCCTAACTGTAAAATATTGCCTTCTGATCCCCCTGGAACTTCTCCATTTGGCTCTGAAGTGAGGGAACTTCAGAGCCAAATGGAGAAGTTCCAGGGGATCAATGTTCCTAGCTGGGGCAAGCCACTGTCACTAGATGTCCAGGCACTGGTGAGGCAGCTGTAGAAGGGTATCAGGAAAAGGTTGATCCCTTGCAGTCCAGTATAGTCCATGTGCTGGCTGCCATATGTCACCTGAGGGTAAGGGCAGCATAAGCAGCAGCCAAAAAAGCCTGAATTAGTGGATGGAGGTGCTGGTGAAGAGAGTCAGGGAGACAGAACAGCAGAGGCAGGGGGACGTGGAAGAGCGGGATCCACAGTCCCATGCCAGCATGCCATCAACCAGCCAGTCTCCTCCTCCACCACAGGCATTGCCAGTATGGGCCAAAGGCTTCCATGGTGGGGTCCAGAGGCCCCCAGACTCCACCATCAGGCAGGTAGCACTCAGGCCTTGGTGGCTGCATATCTCACTGAGGATGTAGAGCCGCTGCTATGCGATGCCTTGGCCTACTGGGCAAGCCACAGCCAGATCTGGCTACGGTTGCCCAGGAATACCTGTCCTGTCCACCGACCAGTGTTCCAAGCAAGAAGGTGTTCAGCATTGCTGGTGATGTAGTGACAACCCACCGCACTTCCTTGGATCCTGGTTTGGTGGAGCAGCTGGTGTTCCTCAAGGTGAACCTCCCGCTGTTGGGGTTCCCCAAGCTCCAGGTGCAGATGGAGTGAATGCCACCCTCCTCACTCCATCCACACCTATTTCCTTTTTTCACTTTTAAAGAACCATTTAATGCCCCGCCCTCAGACCTGGAGGTGGCACTCACTGCACCACCAGCCAACAGGGGAGGAACATGTTCTTGCTGAGCTCCTGTGCCAGCATGAACTTGCAGGTATGGGTTGGGACTATGGGGAAAAAGGAGACCTCAGGTCCTGGGTATGACCACTAAAACTGTACTCTGCCAAGTTCAGGAGGCCTGATGGGACTGCCAGCGGCATGGAAGCCCCAGGAAATGCCAGGACCGAGGATCCCCCTGGTGAAAGGTGGGTAGGAGGCACCATAATCTCCAGCCACCATACACACGCACACAGTCCTGTCTGGGGAAAGCCCAGATCCGTCACATCATTGACAGGCCTGAGGCTTGCTGGCTGCAGTGGAGTTGAGGCTCCAGGTGAGCTCAGCTTAGCTGCCTGGGATGCCAGCTTTCGGGTTGAAAAACCCTTTGTCAGGCTGAGGAAGCTCCTGCACTTGGTGTGCGCGCTGTTCCTGGATGGAAGGAATAGTAAAGAAGCCAGAGGCTGGTATGCAATGCAGGCAAGAAAGCCAGTCAGTGAAAATGGAAATGAAGGCATCACGGGGTGAGGGACAGGCTGTGTGGGGGAGGGAAGG